ACACACACACACACACACACACACACACACATGCAGACAACCCCTCATCAATATGCGTTTTCTGTATCGCATAGATACAAAAAACGCATAAAAATATATGAGTGAAAAAGCTGACATTTCAGATCATATATGAAATTTATGGAATATATGGCTGAACTATAGCTTAACGGACAATCAGGACAATAAATTCTTAGAAATTGGCTTATACGTTCTTAGAAACTGGCTTATAGTTCTTAGAAAAAAAGAAAAAAAAAAAAGAAAAATTCATAGAAAGAAATAAGTCCCCAGAAACTGGCTTCTTGCCTTCAGTGCTAATATAAATCTAAGTAAATTTCTCCAGGGAACCTCAAAACTCGATTTTACTACCAGAATTTAACACAGACCTAGAAAATTACTTTTTTTTCGAGTAAATCTTCAAATATAATTGATCCGAGTTATTACCTGCTCGTAAACCAGCCATAGTTCATCACCCAAATCGCGAGGATGGCGACTCAATACAAATTCCCATATTTCTACCGTTTCTTCGGATCGACGAACGTGCTCTTCACGCCATTTGCGTAAAATATTCCTTGCTTCTGCAAAATACTCCACTGCGAAAATGAAAAACACAAAAAAAAAACGACGGATCTTTTCAAACCAGACCTAATTTTTTCTGGAAAACTTAAAACTTCAAATAACTGGGCAACGCAAGGGCTGTCCGTGCAAAGATGCATTTTTTGCATAGTCTCCCGCAGTTTTTGTCGCTACCAGCATCGGTTTTTCCGGCAAATGAAACCAGCTAAACAAATTAAGATTGGCCGCCAGAACTGTTAGGAAACACCCCTTTAAAATTTCAGCTTTCTAGCTTCTCTGGCTACTGAGATAGCAACTTACTGGAAAAAGCTTGCACGAGTCCTTACTTGGGTACTATGCATACCCCGAGGCTGGGTGTGAACTCACTAATACCCACTTGGATGGGGAACATCCCCTTCAAATTCCAATCCTTTAGCTTCTCAGGTTCCCGAGTTAGTAACTTACCCGAAAAAAACTTTGGCGAACCCGTACATAGGTACCACGCATGATCGGTGTCTGAGTCTGAGCTCTTTGAAACTTACGTGGACGGGGAACATTCCCTTAAAATTCCAGCTTTCTAGCTTTTCTGGTTCGAGAGTTAGCGACTTACCCGCAAAAACTTTGGCGGGCTCGTACGTGGGTACCACGCATGCCCGAGGGCAGAGTTTGAGCTCTTTGAAACTTACATGGACGCGGAATATAACCTTAAAATTCCAGCTTTCCAGCTTTTCTGGTTCGTGAGTTAGTGACTTACCCGCAAAAACTTTGGCGGGCTCGTACGTGGGTACCATGCGGGTAAGACCGCTAATTTCGGAGATGAGGGTTCGTGCATGCATGTAGATTAATTTCTCAAAGTTTCAGCCTTGTAGCTTTTGTAGGTCTTGAGATGAAAAATTAGTACAGACGCCCAGCGCAGACACACAGATAACCTCTCGTCAATATGCGTTTTCTGCATTGCATAGCTGCAAAAAATTCATAAAAACCAACAGTCCTAAAACGAGAAAAAGCTCAAAACTTCAAAAATCCAGAAATCTTCAAATGAGGATATCCATGGTTATCCAAATGTGAATTCAGAAAACAACAAACCGTCAAAAGGAACCGTGGTCCAATCTTCATCCTCTTCAAACTTTCCTGGAAGTCCAACCTTTAGCAATTCGTCAATTATAGGACTAAGCGAGATCTTCATGGCCTGAAAAAGTCCTTGTTGGCTCAACACTAAGTTCTCAGAAGTAAGTAAGTATTAATAAATAGCGACGGGCACCAGAGCAGCCGATGCGATCATGCGTTTCTTGTGCAATTCCGTCCATCGAGCGATTGCCTGCTAATGATTTTCACTTTGCTGCACTTTGGTCTGTGCAAAAATAGTTCAAAAGTTGCGGAATTTCCCATTAAAAATTTCATGCACCGGTGAGTGAAGGCTGAATTTGAAAGCTCGAAGAGTGAACATCCTTCCAAAATTTCAGCCCCACAATTTGCTGGTTTTCGAGTGATTTTTTTGCGACAAAACTTTTATGCGTTCGTACGTGAGAGCTCGGCATACTTAGGAACTGAATTCGAATTTGTGAAGCCACTGCGCTTAGGCAGGAAACATCCTCTTGAAATTTTCAACCTCCTAGCTCACCTGGCTCCCGAGATGGTTTTTCCCGCCAAAACTTCCACAGAGCGTTGAGAATTTGGGGGGTTGTATGTGAGCAAAGTGTGAGCAAAGCAAAATTTCAGCTTCCTAGCTTTTGCAGTTCACGAGATAATTTCCCTACCAAAACTTTCATTGAGCCGTACGTGGTACCAAGGGATGCATAAAGGCTGAATCCAAATTTGCGAGGGTCGTACGTTGATAGGGGACATCACCCTAAAGTTTCAGAGGTTCCCGAGATCATAATATTCCCCGCCAAAACTTTCGCGGCGTCGTAAGTGATATTTGGTCATGCGGGAAGGCTGAATTTAAATCTGCTGGACTGTATGTGGGCAGGAGACATTACCGTAAAGTTTCAGCTTCCTGGCTTTTATGGTTCCCGAGATAAAAATTTCCCCGCCAAAATTTTCATGGATCCGCAGGTAATACACGATAGCAAGGGAATGCTGAATTTGAATTTGCAAGGTCGTACGTGAGCACGGGGGTCATTACCATAAAACTTTAATTTCTTACATCCTGTAGCTCCCGAGATAATAATTTAGCCACTAGAAATGTCGCGGAGTCATATATGTTAACAGCGAACACAAAAAGGACGAATGCAAATTTTCTGGGTCGCACGTGGTCCAAAAAAATACCCACAAAATTTCAGTTTTCTAGCTTTTGTGGTTTCCGACATAATAATTTCTCCTGCCAAAGCTTTTACCGGGACGTACATGTTACCCGCGGGTGGGGGGAAGCCGAATTTAAATTTGCGCGGTCACACGTGGGTGGGGGAAAT